AGATCTCAGCACACCCACAAAAACTCCATGTTGACAATGGGGATAAGTGTTCAATGACAAATGCCCTGAACTTTTATGTATACCGGGTGTGGGGAACCTTCGCCCCTCCAGATGTTGCTGAACTACAGTCCTATCATCCCTGGCCTTTGCACGTGTTTGCAGGGGCTAACGGGAGTTGTTATTACTATTACTATTATTACCAGTTCTATTTTTCTAGAAAAAGTGGTGCCGGAACTCACCATGAACACCTCCTTCGTTCTCTTAGAATGAAAATGGCGTTCACCCGAGAGGTGCCGGAACTGAGTTCTGGTGAGTTCCTACTGAAATAAATCCCTGACTATTACTTTTTTATTATTATTAAACACTTTCTAAACCAGTCTCAAGGAGATTTACATATAAGAGGAGATTTTTTCCAGATAAGTTCAGCAACCTCTGAGCCAAAGTTTCCTCACACCTGGTGTGTACCCATATTCCCTCCATCTGGTGAAAACTGAAACCACAGGTGATTCTGGAAACAGATCAAAGGCACTGAGTGAAACATCTATATCACTCCTTTATGAGTGTGTATGAAACAAATTGCCTGGAGATACTGGAGCTATCCAAGGAAGTCAAGCCTGGTACCATTACTAGGAACTTAAAAGGAATCTGGTCTTTGATGGCCTCCTGTGCTAGTTGATCTTTCTCTGCCTTAACTTTGACCTGCATAATCTGGCAAGGTCTGAGACGCCACTCTTCCTGGCCCTACTTAGGTTTGCTCTGACCTTCAGTGTCTCTACATTGGTTTAGATTATGAAAATAGCATTTTGTAAAATGTTGTGTTCTGATTAGTAAAATTATGTACGGTCACATCCATTCCATATACTTAACATATATAGCTTCCCACAAAGCATCCTTAGAACTGTAGTTTAAGGGTGCTGGGAATTGTAGCTCTGTGAGGGGGTAATCTACAGTTCCCAATATTCTTAGGGGGAAGCTGTGTGTTTTAAATGTACGGTGTAGATATGACTAGTGACTTGGCCTTGCTTGTTGCTGTTTTTATTAATGAGTAAGATTACATTTACATATAAGCACTTAATGGAAGGTAAAAGTGGGATTTTAAAAAGTAGTATTTTAGGAACTTATGAATATTGCAGCTCAACAAGGCCAATAACACTGCCTGCAAATAAACAGCAAATATTTCTTTTGGCTAAATTAACCTGTTGGAACATATTTCCTTGTAGATACTTAGCTTTCTCCTTCTTTGCAAAATAATGGAAAAGGGCACCAACTCCTACACATTTTCTTTTAAAAGTGCAAATAAAAATCATTAAATCATCTTAGCATTTCTAATTGTTTTTGTAAAAGCTCCTGGCTTTCACAAATGCAATAGAAAAGGTCAGTTTACATTCTTTTCTTTTCTTTTACAAAGAGGATGGCAAAAGTTTGCAGTCTGGTCTTTGTAACATGAAGACATCAAACACATTTCACAATTTTTCTTTTTTAAAAAAAAGAGAGGAATAATTGCAAAACGTTCACTTTGCAGATGTGTTTGTTTAGGTTGTTTAGATCATTGTCCATTCAGTTTCTACATAAAGAGCTTGCGAACCTACCGACATCCCTGTGGTGTCAAAAGAAATTAGGTGAATCTGTTGGCTGAAATTTACACTCATGCAAACAGTCATTGGAAGTTTGAACCCCAAAGTGAGAACACCAAACATTAGCAAAGTTAAAATGTTGGCCTCTTTAAAAAGGAAAAGAAAGAAAAAAGCTTGAGTCTGTAGCTTCTATTTGAGAACTGAGTCACCCAGGGTCATGTGTATTGAATTCAAATGGAGACAAATGCAAAGAAGATCAAGGGCCATAGCAACTGAACGGGCTGGGGAGAGCGAAACACAATATTTATGAGGTCTCTGTAGAAAAGGTGCATGACTTGGATCACTTGCTACTCCGAATCTTTCAATTTCAGTTTCTATCAATTTCTCATACTTCCAGTCTTCAGTGCAGTTCTCCTGAAAATTCGTAAGCATTTTAGTAAGACTTTCTACTAACAGAAGTATTTTTGGATGCAGCTTTGACTTCTTTTGCATGCGATTTCACCCTCTCATTTAATGCCTTTTTGTACATTACTTTCGTTAATACATTCATGGGAGGACTGCATGGCAACATCTGGGGGAGGGCGAATTTGGTGGCTGTTTGCTTATCCTTTCAAATAATGCAAATTCAGCAGGTTCTCAATTAAATGTGAACTGAATCAAATTGCACCCTGCCCCCCCCAATCTCTAGTTGCTACTGCCAGCTCTTGTCAGCGCACAACAAATATACATTGTACATGCTAATCTGTGGAGGGATTGCAGTGGATGTGGATAGTCTTACAATGAAAGCGAGGGGTGAAGAACACCAAACCCTGCCGAACTCGGCCCCATAGTGGCAGATAAGCATATTGCTTGTCAGTCAGATTCAGCTTCCTACCCTGACCTAGACCCAGCTTATTACAGGATAAGGGGATCCTATGCATCCCTCCCATTGAACTGGAACTGGGGCCATTAATATGTTCTGATGTGGGTGGCGCTGTGGTCTAAACCACTGCGCCTCTTGGGCTTGCCGATCAGAAGGTAGGCGGTTTGAATCCCCGCAATGGGGTGAGCTCCCATTGCTCTGTCCCAGCTCCTGCCAACCTAGCAGTTTGAAAACATGCCAGTGCAAGTAAATAAATAGATACTGCTGCGGCGGGAAGGTAAACGGCATTTCCATGCGCTCTGGTTTTCATCAGGGTGTCCCATTGCACCAGAAGCGGTTTAATCATGCTGGCCACATGTCCCGGAAAGCTGTCTGTGGACAAACAGGTCCTTTACCTTTACCTTTACCTCTGATTGGCATTGTTATGCCTACCGGCATGGTTGCTCAAGAGCGAACAGGCAAGACCCCCGCTGGTCTTTTCAAAAGGCTTTATTATCGATGCAAAAACATTTACAGTGCAGAACGTCTCAATTCCATGTCTTGCTCAGTCACTAGCAGAATCTGAGAGTGGGCGGTCCTTAAACTTTCCCCAGCAGAGTAGTCTCTTGACCCCCATCCGACGCCTCCCCTCTCTGCGCATAAACCGACTGCACAGAGAGGGCGTGGGCAAAGGGGGACCTGCCTCCTCCCCCCCCGCTTTGCTCATGCACGGTGCTCTGGCTCTCTCTTGCATCCTCCGAGCCCTGCATCTCTTCTCCACTAGAGGCAGGGCTTCCCTCCTCTGTGCAGGAAGTGCTGCTTCTCACGATCTTTGGAGGCTCCCTGTAATCCAACTGCCCTTCCACCTCTCAGCTCTGAGCTGATGGAAGTTCCCTGACAGGCATGATGTGTGATGACTTTCAGATTGCTTCGGCAGCTGCTCTTACACTACTTTGTGACCTTGCTTTAATAATTTTTTATTTCTTTTAAATGATTAATTTGATATATTTGATGTAAAAAATATATATTCCTTAGCCAGCTTGGATGTATATTTTTTTATAGGAAGGCGAGATATCAATGTTAAATAAATGAATGAAATGGTCAAGGCTACTAGAAGTGGCTCCAACTGCTCTGTGGCTTGAACTATAGATGCCCTTTAACATTCTTCATCTCTAATAAGTTTGTGAGGAAAAAGAACTTGGTGGTGAGGCTTTTTCATGACGATATGTTCTTTTGTTCAAGCCACTGGCCCTTACTTAGCTTTGGGAGAGAGTTTGAAATGCATTCTTCTTGATTTACTCAGCTATAACTTTTTTTAAAAAAAAATGATTTAAGGCATGATTTTGGGGGAGGCTGATACTTTGCTTGTATTCTCCACTTCAAACTGGCATTTATTTTTGTCTCTGTGGGAAGAAACTATAAAACACAGATTTTTGACTTCTGGTGAAGGAAGGATTAGGAGCGAGATGGTTCCATTCAACTTTTTTGAGCACGCACCCCCTCCCCCCCTCCATTTGGAATAGAACATATTGCCTTCGGGGCAACTAATTTAATCTTCCCAGCTGAATTACAAGACAAGGAACCATTATTCACCCTAATTAGACCCTTTAAAAAGGGGAGAATGAGAGAAAGCAAAAGGAGGAAGTTTCATGAAGCCTTCCAAATTGTTTTTCTGGTAAATGTGATTTTGCTCTTCCCTTTTTACTGATAAATCTGAAGCTGAATTGTACGTATCCCTTACCAAGGATTGCCGTCATAGATCTATTGCAATGCAACCACAAAGGAAGTGAAATAAGACCACGTAAGGACAGAAATAAGAATGGGGGGGAAAGAGAGAGAGAGAAATACTTTTAGTTCCTCCTGAGGCAAAAGAGAACTTGCCCATCGTTGTCTGCTCCTATTATATCACCTTCTTTTGAACCAAACATGTGGAACATTTAACAGTGGGTAAGATAATGAGGCTAATGATAACTGCATTTAATTGAGTTAGGAGCCAGATTCTGGCAGCAATGTTAACATGAGAGAACTGAATACATTCTGAGTTACTTGGGGCCTTCTCAAATTTTGTTATTAGCGCCACATCTACGCCATGCATTTAAAGGACTGTCCTGACACTTTAACAGTCATGGCTGCCCCCAAAGAATCCTGGGTGCTGTAGTTAGTTAAGGGTTCTGTGAGCTTTTTAGGAGATGCCTATTCCCTCACATAGTAGCAGTTTCCAAAGTTCCCCAAGAAGAGGGATTAACTGTTAAACAACCCTGAAAGCTATAGCTCTGTGAGAGTTTTTTTGCACATGTTGACTTTGTGCTTATGCAAAATACCAGCCCTTTGTGTGCCTACCCTTGGAACACATGTAAGGAATCTACACTATTTGGGGGTGAAGAGAGGCAAAGAGGACTAAGAATAAATATGGGGAAAGACAGAAACTGTCTCCCACTGAGGAACCGTGGATTGCCCTGATTTCAGCCTATTTCTGTTTATGTTTGCAAGGGATGATGGGAATTTGAGGCCAAAGACAATGGTAGAATAACTGACGCTTCCAATGGAGCATAGAATAGTTCAGGTATAGGCAAACCCAGCCCTCCAGATGTTTTGGGACTACTGCTCCCACCATCCCTGACCAGTCCTGTTAGCTAGGGATGATGGGAGTTGTAGTCCCAAAACATCTGGAGGGCTGAGTTTGCCTATGCCTGGAATAGTTCATCATAAGTGAGGCCTAATAATAACAAACATTTCCCACCAAAATTGATCAGCGTTGGGTTTGTTATACAGTCATATCTCGGAAGTTGAACAGAATCCGTTCCGGCAGTCCATTCGACTTCCAAAACATTCAACTTCCAAAGTGTGGCTTCTGATTGGCTGCAGGAAGCTCCTGCAGCCAATTGGAAGCCACAGAAGCCCTGTGGGTTCATCTTCCAAAAGGACGTTCAAAAACCAGAACACACACACCTGGTTTTATATCATTTGGGAACCGGAACGTTCGACTCTCAAGGCGTTTGGGAGCTGAGGTATGACTGTGCAATGTTATCTCAGTCCGGAGGTAGAACTAGACTTCATCTTGCCAAATGCATGATCCCAGCCCCACATTAGTTAATTTTGGGGAGGAAGGGTTATGGAAGAGAACAGTACTTAGTCCCACCTGCAGCGGCTGTTTGATCTGCTTCACCAACCCCAGCTGATTTTTACTTCTAAGTTTAAGAATCTGGATGAGGAGAAATACAACCAAAAAATGTTTTAAATGACCAGGAGGTAGTTTCAGGGACAAATCATTGGGAAGGAGAACAGTTCAGTATCCCTTTCTACCTACTCACATATTCTACCGAGCAGATTTATCTTCTGCTCTTCATTTCCCTTAAGAAGGGACATCTAGACCCAATCCAGAGCTCAGCTGCCATAGTGGATTGATCTTGAGCGGTTCCTCCAAAGTTTTGATGTGCAAAAATATCATTTAAATTCTTAGCTCCCATTTGCAGCCCAGCGCTAATTTTGTTTCCCCACTTACGTTTGCAGAGGGGTTAAATCAAAACAGGAGAGCAGTATTCAGCGATTACTCACACTAATCATTCTGATATAATAGGTCAAGATGTCTGACTGGAGACAAGCTAATGGAGAAAAGGATGTCATATGTTTACAAACATTTCCGTTAACATGCTGGAATGGCAAGCTTATTCATCGCAGGCCAGAGCTCCCAGAGGTCAATTGGAGGAGAAAAAGAAAGAGGGGTGATATTAATCATACCGACGCCTGATTGTCTGATACTTTTTGACATACTGTGGAAAAACTAGCTGCAGTAAATTTTGGCAGGGATATCAGGGGTTTTTTAAATGAAATAATGTTTTTGTAAGGCATTACCTTTTATCTAGTCATTTATCTTTGGCCCATTAAAAGTTTCACATATTACAATGTCAGATTTAAAATTGTGCTTTTGAAAGAAAACTGCACACCATAGTTCATCTCCCTGCCTGCCTCTCTCTCCTCTCTCTCTCTCTCTCTGTCCCTCTCCCTCCCTCTCCCTTTGACATTTTTAGTGCATGCCTTGGTGATTCAGAATGGTGCAGGGTAAAAATTAGCACTTCAGAGGCCACAAGCTGTGAGTCATCTGGCAATGAATGGCTGGCCTGCTGTGATGTCACTGCTGATCTGTTGGGTGCAGAAGGTATGGTTCATCTAGCTCATGGCCACTGGCGGTGCCAATGCTCAGAGTGCTAAAGGAACTTGGGATGCAAATCTGTTGGTTAAACCACACAAGTCTCACCTAGGCTCTGTAGACATTCAAGTAGCACTTTCTAGGTGCGAGTCAGTTGACTGGTTTTGAAACTTCTTAATGTTCCAGACAGGAAAGACTTTGCTGCTGTCAGGATGATGGCACCTTATTCCTGTCACCCCAAAACTGCTGCTAAAATCAAAACAGGAAAATATCAAGGAGAATAAATTCTTCCCATAGTAGAATAAAAGATAAGTCAAAGAGCAAGATGACTAATTCAGCAGGCCTATATTTAGACAACCCAAGATAGATCCAAAAACTCATTTGATGAGAACCATCTCTGATGTCTGCCTTTCCTTTCACTGTCATCTGCTGACATTAAGCTCTGAAGCTGCCTCTGATGTCAGTTTTGAATTATTTGTTTCATGATTGCTGAGTGCTGACTCAAAAGTTGCCTGGAGAGGGAAGTTGTGTGTGTGTGTTTTATATATAAAAAAGGAATCATTCATATCTCTTCCTTGCCAGAAATGCTTTAGAAACAATGGAACTGTTCTAAATATGTTGTGACCTTGCCTAGCACAAGCTTTTCTGCTCCCTTCTTGAATGCTCATAGTAACTACTTAAACATTCTTTGATTTCCCTCCCACCCACCCATGAAGAAATATCGGTGATCTCTTGCAGCTATAAATGTGAATAGTTGTTGCTTAGATTCAGACAATGTCTTTATACATATCAGAGGTAGTGATGGACCAATACTCTCAGGTGTGTGGGAGTTGGAATTATGAGTAACATTGGAATATTTCCTCCCTTGAGAGTAAGTCTTGTTGAACTCAGTGGGGCTTACTTCTGAGTAGATGCTTATATCATTTTGCATGGGAAATAACGGATATACCACTTGTCTTATGTACAAGTTGTGGCTCCAAAATGGGCTTATTTTCTATGTGCTATGTATTATTAGTAAAGATGGTTTCCTCAACACTTCACATTTCATGTGAGATAGACTGCAACCAGAACTAAAGATGATTGCTAATGAATGAACTCAAACTACCAAATGGCTTCCATGGAGCTGAAACAGATCTCCTAAATCCCTGTCCCAAGGATAGCCAAGTCTGCAAGTTACCATTTAATGGGGATAATTGTTAAACTGGCTGCAGTCAACAACTTACCTTACTTGCGTTTTAGGACTTTAAAAATAAACAGATCTGGTCCAGAGTAAGTTGCCTGAATATTTGAGCCTTAATTTTCTGGTAACCTAGTGCCTATTCAGTTCTTTTTGTGTGTGGATCTGAAAAGTGAAGAAGGACAATGTTAAGCATCTCATCTTAAGATGCATGTATGAAACACTTCCAGAAAGTCACAAATGTATCTATTTTATTACAAAGGCACACACTTGGCAAGTCAGCATGTGGAGTCTTGCCGAAAATTGCATTGCAATACAATAGCCTTGTGTAATCCTTTGTAAGCGATGCTGGAACTTTATATTCGCTAGCAAACATTGTGAATCCAACAAAGAGAGAGAGCAGAAATGTAAACTAATGGGAAATTCCATCTCCATATAAATTAGCAATTACGTAATGCATCATATTAAAAACGGAATAACTCAAAAGTGATTGCAAGCATTAGAATGTCACGGCATGAAAAGACATACATTTTAAAGAATAAATGAGGTGGGGTAAAACAACAAAACCAAACCTCAGTGAAATGTAGAGAGATGGGTTTTTCAGTCTACTAAAAAAGAAACCTGAATGGATGCTGTGATTTATTACCAGTGCTTTTTTTCCTGGGGGTACGCATACCCCTAAACATTTTGTGAATCTAAGTTTGGCCTCATTGAGGGGCAGTATTTCAATATGAGTAGGAAAATGAGAGCACCCCTAAACATGTTTTTAGAAAAAGAAGAACTGTATATTACCAACAAATTAAGCCTGAAATCTACCTACCCTTAGAAACACCTATTGCTTGATAGAATGAACAGAGGTGACAGGATAGAAAGACCCAGGGAGTCAAAGCATGCAGCAAAATTAACCTAAATCAGACCTTAATTAGTGACAGAACAGCCAAAAATATGGGGAAATGGACAATGACTGCAATTATATCGTGCTTCATAAAGTCAGACAGATTGTTTGGCAAATCCCTACGTCAAGTCTGATTGTCTTTTTGGTTCTAGTTGTGTGATCAGGACAGGACACTGGAGCACAAATTCAGCAGAATTAGTGTGTGTGTGTGTGCGCGCGCAAAGCAGCAAAGGTAAATTACTAAATGCTGAAATAAGTGAACTAACACATATTGCTGTATACTATACCATTGTGTGTCCCTTATATACTAGGGCTGTGCATCAGATCAAGCTGAATCCTGGATCCCAAAGCGAATCAGGCCAATTCAGGTCAATCTGGCTGGATCTAATTCAGCCAGATCAGACAGAGGCAACCCCAGTTATCCCCAGGTTGGATTGGGTCAACCCAGAGCGATCAGGAGAGGTCACGAAGGTTGGTGGCCTGGTGGTCAGGAGTGGGGGAGAAGGAGACGCATTGGTATGTGCATCTCCTTTTCTCCCCACCAGCCACATGTTTAATTAGGTTAAACCCTGATTAAACATGCTGAGGGCGAGAAGGAGGCATGTGTCTCCTTTCGCCCCTGCCCTTGACCTTATGTTTAATTAGGGTTTTGATGCAAATAGTAGGAAAAGCTTTTTCTGTTGGAATCATGGCAAAGAGAGAAAGATTTAAGCTTTGCCACTCAACTTTGCCACCTCCCCCTTCCCACTTCTGCTGCCCTGGTTGTCCCCAGGTTGTTCTCTGGATCTCCCTTCATCTGCTATTTGCATTTTTTAAAAATGCTATTAAATTGTGTTCATGTCTTGTATGGCCCTTTCACATTTTAAAATTCACCACTCTTGCAATTTCCTCTTTTCATTAAGCTATTCCCTTGTTTACTAGTTGAATGGTATTGTCAAATTATATCCATGTGATCATTTTCTTTTAAATCCACTTTTCTCTCCTAATTGTTCTTAATTGTGTTGGCTTCAATTCCAATAGCTACTCTGGTTTCAATCTGATTCTGTCATCTCCCCCACCCCAGGCCCTGAACAGAATAGTACCGTTCCTGTTCCTTTCTTCTTAAGACAAGGCCACGTCACTTTTGTATTTTGTTCAGAAAAGTCATGTGACGATATCCTTGGGATTTCCTGCATTTAGTGCTGCAAGGCTTCTGAAGCCTGTTCTGAGCAGACTTTATAGAAACAGGCTCATTTTGCAAGTTTCAAGTAGGGCATCTGAATGCCCTGTGGAAGGAGGAAAAGTAGCACAGAGTTGACTGAAAAAAGATTTTCACTTATAGGTTTTGAAGAACACAATAGAAGACAGCAGATACTTGCCACAGAGAAGAGGGTAAAAACTTGTTCACTGTTCCCCTAGATCAGGGATTGAAAATCTTGTTGGGCCCTTGAGTTCATGCACACACACACACACACACACACACACACACACACCAACAACAACCAAGCCCATATTGCAACCTAGTCTTCTTGCTACAGTAGCGTGCTTCTTTTGACCCTAATTTCAGTGGGTAGATGGTGGGGAGGAGAAGATTCTTTGGGTGCCAAGAAAGGCATCTGTGGGCACCTGTGTTACAACCTCTGAACTATACCTGATGGGGTTAACTTACAGGATTGTATTACTATTATTTATTAAATTTCTTTTGTTGTTGTTTAGTCGTTTAGTCGTGTCCGACTCTTCGTGACCCCATGGACCAGAGCACGCCAGGCACTCCTGTCTTCCACTAAATTTCTTTACTACCCTTCTTTATTAGCAGAGTTGCTGGGACTTTGGATCCACTCCATGCTGTCCTAGCTGGGAGCTTACTGCTGGCTACCAGCAGTGGGAGAAGGTGATGCATTTGTTTTTATTTACTTAATTAATAAAATTTATGCACCACTTGATTGTAATAATAAAAAAGCACATTGAAAGCAGTTTACAAAGAGATGAAACAAGAAAATCAAGAAAAATTACAGCCATACTTTAAAACATGCCAAAGTTAAAACACTAAAACAGATTAAAATTACCTTCATAGTCAAATCAGTTTTGAATGATCTACCGTGGGGTTCTGCAGACCTGATTTCATTGAACGAAAAGCTGGCAAGATGGCAGGCAGGACGTGAGTGGGTGGACTGTGAAATCTACCCCATTCCAGTCCAAAACAAACACAACCTGCCTTGCCTGCATTTTGCCATCTTGCCAGATGTTTCTAAGTGTTTGTTGAACACACACGGCATGAGTCAGCAGGAGCAGGGAGGCAGTGCCATGACAGACAGCAGCTAAACACCAGGGCCAGAGATTTCTGTTCTTCCTCGAGTCATGGTTACCTAAGCAAACTGGGCCCAGGATTCAAGCTTAACTGTTCAAACATGAAATGGGTGGCATAACAATGCAGCCTTTACCCACAGATGACTTAATGCATCCCGAATGAAATGTTTGCTTACTAGAAGCCAACAAAAGCCTGTCATTGTAAGCTGGAGAAGAAAAAGCTTTCTCAAACACACTCCTAGAACGCGTCACAACTGATTTGCTGTTACCTTTGCGCATTTGCATTAGAATTCCCCCCCCACCCCATCCTCTAAGATTCCTTGTGCAATCTTGCTGAATTACCCTAGCATGTGGATCAAATGTTTATAGGCCAGTCCCATGCACATGTTTACTTGGAAGGATGTATCACTGTCTTAAAACTATCAATGGCTACTTGCTAAGATGGGTACGTTCTGCCTCCATAATCAGAGGCAATGGTGCTTTTGAACACCAGTTGCTGGAAACTGCAGGAGGGCAGAATGGTCTTTGCTCAGATCCTGCTTGCTTGGCCACTGTGAGAACAGTGCTATACTAGATGGACCTGATCCAGCAGGTTCTCCTTACTCCTAAGTACAGAGGCACTGGGTTGCCCCAAAGATTGGAGGGCACGTGACTCGTCATGCATGTGTAATGTTGCACACACAACCTGCACATGATGCAGGAAGCCAAGAGCTCTGGAGGAGCTGGCCACTGGACCTGCATCATGCGTTGTGCACATGACATCTCGTGCGCACGTGTGCAAGGTCGTCTGAAGATTCAGGGGACCCCGGGACTTCCGGGGAGGTGCCTCCGGTAATGGCGGAATTCCTCTGACCGGGAGGAATCCGCTCCGTGGGAATCTTGGTCTGGCCGCCACGGCGAAGGCGGAGACCCCTTAAAATCACAGGCGGGAGAAGCCTGTGAGTGTGGGATTCGGCGGGCACCTTTTGCGCCTCCCGCACTCGCGGGGAACCCCGGTTTTTGGGGCTCCGGAGCGACGTGGGGTGAGTGGCGCAGTGCATCGAATCGCCTGCTTCTTCCACGGAGCGAAGCCGCATAGCTGTTGCCGGAGAGCACTGACCTTTTCCTGTGGACAATTGGACTTTAAAGTAATTACCCGTGAGTAGATCTGAAACAGAAGAATTGGATTTCTAAATGTTTAATTTGGTATCACAACGGGGAGGTTCAAAACAGGAAGTCCGCCTGCCCCTTTTGTAAATAGACTGAGGCAATGAAGTTGCAAGCTGGAGTCTTGGAAAGTCTTTTGTAAAAGATTAAATTTCCATCAATAAAGAACATTAAACCCTCTCTTGGAGGCAGGAGAAGAGAGGGGGAAGTTGTGGATTGATTATACCTGCGGGAGAGAGTGAAGAGGTTTAAAACACCGCCGCTCTGACCCTGGAAACGGGCTGCTAGCAGGACTGACGTCTTTTGGAATGTTCATTGACAGCGTTTAGAACGTTCATTGACAGCTAGTTAAACAAGAGAAATACATTGTTTCTACTGTCCCCGGCTGCTTTAAAAGGAGTAAAAGTAACTGAAAATTGAAACTAATTTGAAACTAATTTTGGATTGTTGAAAAGAGGATACTATTGACTATTACAAATAGAAACTGTTTCCCCCTAGTGGAAGCCTTTGAAACCAGTTGTTTTACAAGAGCTGGGATAGGGGAATTTCCAGCTGCAAGTTAAAAACCGTGAGACTCTGGGACTGACCTTGAATCTTTTAAGTGTTATGGTAAATGGAAGAGGAAAAACAGACCAGTCAACTGCTGACAAAACATTAAGGTCTGGGAGGACTTGGCAACAATCCAGAAGAGGTTTATCATCAGGCCCCCCTGCTCCTTCTGTTGCTGCCTTTGTACCAGCATATTTAAAACTAAGAAGAATGTCGACAGAAGAGGCTTTAGTGGCTGCATTTTATAAGATAAATGACTCATTGGATCAGCTTAACAGGAAAATGGACATCATAAATGCGAAAATGGATGTTTCAATTACTAAAATCAACCTAAATGCAGAAAGTATAAATAATACCAATACAGAAACCACCCAGAAATTGATACAGGAACCTACTTTGATACGGCAAACTACGGAGGAAGCCAGGGAGGGGGCTGTTGTTGCTGAATGTAAAGTGACACAACTGGAGAGAAAGAGAAAGAGAGCCCCAGCCCTACGGAGGCAACTTGATGAACATGGGTTGACGCTTGCTATGACTGAACTTAAAGAAAAACAGACGAATTTGAGGATTAGAGTTCACTTTTGGTGGACATGCCCAAGGATTAAGACACTTTGGGAGATGATTTATAACGAAATGAAAAAGGCATTTAAATATACCCTCTTGAAGAAGCCAGAGGCCTTTCTCCTGGGCATGGTCGGCCAATTGGTGTTAAAGAAGGATAGAACTTTTTCCACGTATGCAACAATAGCAGCAAGAATATTCATTGTGAAGTACTGGAAGACACAAGATTTATCTATTCAGGAAGAATGGCAGATGTCGTTGATGGACTATATGGAATTGGCGGAAATGATTGGCAGAAATCCGAGACCAGGGAGAAGAGTCGGTGGAAGAAGACTGGAAAACGTTTAGGACTATTTATAGAAATATTGTAAAAATAATGAATGTAAGAAAAATGTTGGAATGAAGTTATATGGCTCTAGTAGAAATGCTATAAGGAATTAAGTATAAATAGATTAATAGAGTATTAAAGGGAAAAATAAGGTTAAAATATGTTAAGATAATTATAGGATAGAAACAGAGGAAGATGGAAAGGAATTGCTGAAACAATTAATAGAAGTGGAATACAAAAAGGGAGGTGTAAGGAGGTCGTGGAAATAAGGGAATGAAAGATAAGATATTGAAATTGTTTTGTGTGTTAAATGGTTTGTGTCTTATTTTGTTATGCTTTTTTTGTTTTGTCTATTTTGTTGTGTTTAAACGGTTGAAAATTAATAAATATTATTTAAAAAAAAAAATATGAAAATTCAGGGGACCCAGCCCCCTTAAAACAAATTTTGAGGGGGATGAAGTCCCTTTGGTCCCCTAGAGTTGGCACCACTGCCTAGGTATTTGTGTCAGGAGCTAATCCTACACTCGAGTAGGACCCTGGTAGAGACACATGCCCTACTGGCATGTTCTCTCCTTCCTGGTCGATCATTCGGGAGCTTCAAAAGCTTTCTTCAGCCCAAACATCACAGCGACCAATGCCAACTGACACCGGCACACTTAGGGATCCGCAGAGTTTGCGCATCAAGCGTAACAGACCTCAGCAACTCAGCATTTTGGCTAATATACTTTATTTACATATGAACACACAGAGAACACGGCAACATGGCTCCCTCCCTCTCTAGCATCAGACAGCAAAGTGAAAAAGAACAAAGGACAATAGTCCCACTTCACGGGACACAGTAACACAAATATCCTGTCTTTGTCACTTCCCACTCTGTGGAGTCAAACCATATACCATCATGTGATAGACAAAAATCCCATGACTGCAATCATGGAGCTGGAATTCTAACAATTTGTGCAAAAGACCACAGCCATGGTCGTATTCTTAACCATGGAAAATGACTGCTATTGGTAACAATGAAACCATAAAATCCAGCATTGAAAACACAGACATTCAAGCCAAAACATAAATCAAACATTGGCAAAACTACCCCAAAACTATTGGGATGGGGCAACCATGGAAGGTCTGTTTAAAAAGAAACCACATTTTCATAAAGTCAACCATGTCAGGCTCTCTTTTGTCAACGGCGACATACAAGGGTTTGTCTTTTCCATAACACAAATCTAGAATGTGAAGCTGAAGCCATTGTCTGATCTGTGTAGTATTCTTGGACATAAATCCTGCTCTAGAATCTGGACCAGTCATACTGGAGCTATTTTTTCAGTGGTAGAGGTAACACACCAAAGATCATAATCATTCCTAAAACATTAGGTACCATGCACAAATTAAAACTAATCCATTTTAAAGCCCCAAACAGCCTGGGATCAGTTTACTTGTGGGATCACTTCCCCTCAAATATGCCCATTTAACCACTATGAGCTGCACTGTTAAAGGTGCCACATAGTACTTATAAGAAATCTTCTTTTTTTAGTGTGGCAGCACCTACATTTTGGAACTTCCTGCCTAGTGACATCAGGTAGGTGTGTTCGCACCTAGCAGCTCCAGCTTAAAACAATTTTGTTTATGCAAGCCTATCCAGACAAGTAAAAGCTGCATGCGTGTTTTTTTATCTGTTCATTTTTATCATCTTTTGAATGCTTTTAAGTATCTGTTTTTAACTTTCTTCACTGAGAATTTTAACATTGCATTTTAGATTCTTGTAAACAGCTTTGAGGTTTTCCTACCCGCAAGTGAAATATAAATTTTGCTAAATAAATAAATAAATTTCAGACAGCATCAAGAGGGAATGTAAAATGAAGCTGATGTAGGGAGTTTCCCTTAGATCAGGGATGGGCAACTTGCACTCCTCCAGACATTGTACAGCTGTTCCTATCAGTCCCAGCCAGTCTAGCTATAAGTGAGGGATGGTAGAATTTGCAGATAAAGTCTGCTCATGCATAATTCTATTTTTCTGTGCAGATAAATTCTGTTCTGTTTGAAATCCAATCATTCTCATGTGCTTTACAACATTTTTGGCATTTTTTTTGTAAATATGTTTTTGCACAATTATTTATTTCATTTATTGATCACTTCTGATGAGGTATCTGAAAGAGATTTACAATGCAATAAAGGCATTTACACCCCACTTGTCTATCTAAAAGTTAATCAAAGGTGCCTAAC